TTGTTGTTCTTGCTCTTGTTATTGTTGTTGTTGTTCTTGTTGCTCTTGTTATTGTTCTTGTTGTTGGTGTTCTTGTTCTTGTTCTTGTTGTCGTTGTTATTGTTATTGTTCTTGCTTTCGTTATTGTTCTTGTTTTTGCTGTTCTTGTTGTTGGTATTGTTCTTGTCGTTCTTGTTCTTGTTCTTGTTCTTGTTGTTGGTGTTCTTGTTGTTGTTCTTCTTCTTCTTGTTCTTGTTCTTGCTGTTCTGCATATTGTTCTTGTTGTTGTTCTTGTTCTTTTTATTGTTGTTGTTGTTCTTGTTCTTGTTGTTGTTGTTCTTGTTCTTGTTCTTGTTGTTGTGTTTGTTCTTGTTGTTGTTGTTTTTGATGTGTGGGCAGGCTCATACGAAATGGCGTTTCGAGCGTTTCAAAAGTCGAAAAAAGTTGTAGCGGCCTTTTTTCAGCCGTGGTCGGCACGCTCTCAGGTCGCGTGTGGTGGCGATACACCCACTGATACACTCTATTCCACAGCCGTGGGTTCACCAATCCTTTGGACCGGTTCTTGCTTTGTGGCGGGATGAATTTCATCCACAACCACAGCCGATCTGGCTGATGGGTGCCAAAGATCATCTGCTTCGAGTTGACCATTGGCCCTCTTAGTCCATTGACTCTTCACATGCTTGACGTGTTTCACAGTCAAGCGCTTCGAAAGCAGCGGCCGACCATGCAAGTGCACCATCTGCACACAACAAAGAACCTGCTCGAACATTCCGAAGCAAGCCTGAGGTCACTATCTCAGCACATAAAAAGTCTTTTACTTTTACACCGAGAATCGGGTCCTCCCGCGAACCAGCGGCCCGAGATGGTGTCTGCGGCGCGCTCTTGTCTGACATCCGGCTGCCAAACTCAAAAAACAACGCCCGACGAACACGCGACTCGACGAAACCACGAACCGACGAAAACACGAAACGACCCAAACACGAACCGATGTCATTGCCCCCCCCCCCCCCCCCCCCCCCCCTGAATGACTGTTGGAACCCTGTCTGCTTCAAAAACGTGCAAATTCACGGGGGCCCGTACGGACGTGACACCAAAAACAACAGCGCGGCTGCAGATGTTGTTTCTAGGGAAGAAAAACAACATCTTTTCAGGGCGGGGGTCCAAAAAAACAACAGGGCTGCAGTTTTTGTCTCTAGGATGTGGTAGGTCGAGGTTCTAAGTAGAAGTTCTACAGAGGCTTAGCTGACCGGACTACCACTACCACTACCACTACGATTACCTACGACTACTACTACTACTACTACTACTACTACTACTACTACTACTACTACTAGGCTACTACTACTCCTACGACCACTACAACAACGACCACTACAACAACGACTACTACTAGTACTAGTACCACTAGTGCTAGCACTAGTACAAGCACTACCACTACTGGTAGTACATGTTGGCTGGTTGTTTTCGGGGGGGCTAAAAAAGGAAAAAACGACATGGCAGCAGATTTTGTTTCCACTCCCTTGTAGAGACAAAGGAACAAAATATCTTGTAATGGGGCTGCAGTTTTTTTTTGTACCTTGTTGTTGTTGTTGTTGTTAGTCGAACCACTGCTTGCGCTGCTTGCTTCAATATGACTTCAGGCTCATCGTCAGTTCTCAGATTGCTGTGGTTAAAAGCTGGAAGAGGTCCTTCCCCGGCAGTTCAGACTCCACGTCCTTCGCACGTTGCTTTTCCTCGGCCTGGCAGTGCACTTGGCACTGGCAGTCGAGGTAGTTCTACAGCTTCATATAGGGGGTATCAGACCAGAGGGCTCTTTGTTTGGGTTGGATTTCCTTAGAGTCACGGCAAATCCCTTAGGGTCGCACCCAAAAAAGATATACAATGCCATTTAGAGAACTCTTTTTTTGCATAGCTGTATCATGTTCATGTGGGCCTGGCAATAAAGCATCAGCAAATCATGGTTTGCAAGGAACCCTTCCAACCCTGTTCATTTAAGATTCGAGATTGACCAATCATATATTTGTTCGATGCAAGTTGGTCGGAACTGCTTGACGGCTGGGGCGACAATCAAACCAGTTTTGCATTGTCTTCCTGCTCGGGTCGTGCATCCAAAGACAAAGTGTTTGAATCCGAAGCCTGCAGTCTTGCATGTTTTACCTATGATATAAGTTTAGCCTCTAATTAGTGCCCAACAAAAGTTGCCGCATGAGGCTGCAGAAATCACAACTGCAACTGTTGTCCCAAGACCGAAAGCCTTCAACAAGTGGTCAAACACCAATCTCCCAAAGTGAGCAGTTCTTGGGTACAGCCAAGGTGCAAAGAGGACCTCTGGCAGAAACTTCCGAAGTTGGAGAATCTCTCACAAAAGGCTTCAGTCTGATTTGGCCAAAATCTCGAAGTGGCATCTCTCTGCTGCCCGGCCTGTCGAGCCCTCAAACGAGCATTGGCGCTTCGGTCCAAGCCCTTGCCAGGGACATACTTCTCATCACTGGCCACGGCCATGGCCCAACGATTTGTGGCCGGATTCAGGCAACAATACTGTGGGTTTGATGCTGACTCCATCGCAAATAAAACATCATATACAACCAATGAGATCTCAAAAAGCAACAGCCAATGTACGCTAAACAGCACGGTTTGCTCAGTATACTTAGTAATTATTATAGGATGCTAGCTGCTAGGTATATTTATAGCGTATAAGCGTGTGTTTGCCGTACCTCAAAGACCTACTGTAATTATCAAATTGTGGCAATGGCTGTCAGTTCGAGCTCAGAAATGCCGGCTTTGGATATAAATTGTGCTGTTCTGTTGGTCACTGAGACATCCTGCTCGGCAATTCAAGCACTTTTCTGCAACTAGTCCTCCCATGTTCTCCCCACCAATCCTCCGTGTGATGAAGTTCAATCTGTGACCAACCGACCAACCTGGCAAAAAGATGATATTGCAGCCTTTCAATGATATGACATTCCACTACTAGAAGACTCTTCCGAACAAATGACTCATATTCAGGTGGTGGCCTACTTTCTCCCAATCAAACAATCATGTCTATGATCATTGGAGTCTCTTTTCAAGTGTTGTTTTTTTTTCACATTTACGTACCAATTTTTCAATGCACCTGATGGAAACCAACTCTTCAATATGTTCCATCTGTTCCAAATCTTCACTCGTTCCATTGGTGGCGAAACAACTCGACAAATCCACATGTGTCTGTGTCCACGGTCGTATCAAAAATGTCTGACAAGAATCAAGTTCTCTATTGTTCTCTCTTTCGGAACTGTTAAACGATGCCCCTGGCCCCCTCGAGAAGGGTGCACCTTTCGCTAAGAAGTACAGCGGGACGCCGGTGTCAAATTACAGTCCGTCCAAATCCAGGTGGCAGGAGAGTTCCTGGCTACAGCCTTTCTTTAGAGGGATGGATCATGAGCCATCACACGACTGTTTCTATCAATTGACAATCTACAAAATTGTGCTCTGAGGTCGAGAAACTCTTGCAGAATGCGCTGAATAGATAGTGGATGATAGTGGTGAAGAAGGAGTTCAAGGAACATTTTGATTCAATGGCCAAGTGGCCAGGCTGTGTTGGCGACCCATCAGTCAAATGCTTCAGAAAAAAGTCAACAATCTTCATGTCATATAGTCTCATGTGCCAAGAATCCTCCAATTCCAAAGACTATTTTTGCAAGCCTCCCACATACGCCAGGGCATTGAGAAGCTTGCGGAATGCTTACTCTCGACTTGCAACTTGCAACATTAAAGTGTTCACCAGACTTAGATTTGTACCGATGAATCACTCACAAGAGCAACAGCCGGCCATCTTGGGCGTCCGGGCCATGCCGTGCATGGCCACTCCTTCCCCCAAGCAATCGTTCACCGCCCGCAACAAAGGCAGCGCCGCATCCACGAGCTGCGGAGCAGGGCTGTTGGCGGGGACGACGGTCGTCTGCCCGACTTCGCACGTCGATTCGGGCAAGGCTAGAATATGTCTGTAGGATGCCACTACGGGGTGGCTACATAGATCAATTATCAGATAGATTCGGACGGATGTAAGACCAAGACATATAAATATAGTAAGTTAATGAATGTGAATTAGATATAATGTTTGCCGCACGATAGATTCGTCCGAAATGACCTGCGAGGTCCAAAGCCAAGATTGTCCGAAGGAACAGGCCCCTTCCGGGTTCCCCCACCGAAATGTGACACGAAGAATCAGAACCTCTAGCTCATATAAATGTGTATAGATGCTCCTCTACCTCAAACCATCTCAAAGCCATGAGATAGATCAATCGATAAATAAATAGATGGATAGATGGATAAATGACATGTTCAATCCAAACCTGTCCAGCCTCATAAGACCTTTCCAGCCTATCAAGATCTCTTTTTGTGTCCTCCTTTGAACGGAAGAAACACCGAGTGACGTCCCCCGGTGCCAAAAGAACCCCCTCCGTCTCGGCCTGCTTTGTCTCGTTCAGCGCTAAAGGGTTCCCATGTTGCTTGATGACCTGACCAGCTCGCGGCACGCTTTGTGCTGAACCGACCCGTGGGGAGGTCCAAAATGGGTTAATATATTTATATATTACTTACTGTACCAGTTACTACCCCTTTGACCAAGTGGGTCAAAGCCGGTCATCAAATTGTGATTGGTTTGGGGCCCACTTGGCAGAGCTGGGGCCATGAAACAAACAGAACCGACCCGTGGGTCTTAAAGCCATCCCTCCACTCGTGGGTCTCATCTCCCTCATCCAAATGGCTTGGTTGATCTCATTGCTAGGCCTGCTAGGCTTCGTGATTTCTCCCAAGTGAGTAGCTGGGGCCAGGTGATCTGATCTTTGTGAAGTTTATGTTCGCCTTGATGCGCACGTGATGCACTTGCCTGGCACGTGAAGATGCAGTTGTCTTTTTCCCCCACGCGGTGCTCCGGCATCAAAGAATGATGCAGTCAGTTCTCCCCAAACGAACGAATGGGATATCAAACATCAACAGGACATCACAGCCTCAAGTCAATTGGTTTGTCCTCAAGTCAAATACTCTCTGTTGATGTCTGGCACCGTCATTTCGCTCATCACAGCTCATCAGGCATCCAAGTCAATGGTGACCTCAGAGGCGTTCAGCGATTTTCATGTGAGTCGATTGCCAAATACATCACAATCCAGATATATACCATCTTCAACAATTTGTCAGGACATGTAGGGAGTATGTAGGCAGTATGTAGGCAGTGTGTCGCCCGAATTAGGGAAAGCGCATGAGAAAAGCGATGAAAAAGCACGGACAAACTCGAGTAACTCAGCCGCTCAACGTGGGTCCTAACATTCACCGAGCAACTTTCTGATCCTTCGAAGCAGAAACCGGAAGCTTCGCGAAGGACAGCGTCGCTTGTTGGCCCGAAGCGGACGGCGCGGGTGGTTTCGGTGTGGGTTTCGGCGCTTCTTCGGGCGCCACAGTCCATTCAGTGAGAAGACCCCAGTGGTCTGAGGGAAACCGGTGAAGGCCGGCAATCTTCTCTTTCCCAAGGAGTCGGATGCCTCAAATTTTCCCAAGGAGTCGGATGCCTCATATATAAGAAAAACTCACTACAGTATGGCTAGCATCTGAGATCTGCATCATAGCTACGGAAAGAAAGATGCTAGCTACCTATTCATCCACTGTATACAACACGTCTCTCAAGTGAAAACATCACGTGCAATAGTCCTGCAGTGACTTCAACAACGATGCATCTCCACCCACAACCATGTCAACAAAGACAAGCCAAACAATTCTCCGAATGTAGACTGGAACCAAGTAAAACATATGCCAAGAACTCTCCAAGAGGCTCTTGGGTTGCCAGCCATCCCCAGGTTTCGAGGCTTTTGCCTTCGCCTTCGCTGTCAACCCCGAGGCACCCTTCACGTCGGAGACTCCTGGACTAATGAAGAGCATCCGATCAAAGCGGCTTTTGCAGGCAAAGTTGGCTCCAATGTTGCCTCGAGTCACGCAGGTCTCGAGTCATCAGTTGGCACTTTAGTCGTTTTCATTTGTCTTGTGCCACAAAAAGCTCATGGACCCTGCCTTCAGTAGGGGCCGTACCCGAATCCTCTGGAGGGGTCCGGACCCGAAGCAATCCCTATGGTTTTGAGGGACCAAGGCCTGTTTGGAGCGTCTGGGTGCAACAAAAAGCTCATGGCCAGCCAGTGCGATTCTTTTTGGGTACTCCCGGTTTTGCGAGATGTACAGTACCGAGAGGCATCTACCTACCTCGGTAGGCCGAAGGAATGCGATCTACCTCAACTTAGTGTCTCACCTCTTCATTCACCTTTAAGACCCTTTGAGCCTGCTCCCGATGGGTTTTCTGGGACAATGGGACCAAGATGGACCAAGGTACAAGACATTGGAGGGAAGAGATGACACATTATCAATTGAAACCACAGCTCCCAGCTCAAATAATGGTATTGATCTAGTGAAGGACACACAATTGGTTGACAGTTTGGAGATGTTTGGAGTGTCTAACCAAAAACAACAGCACTGTGGCACTGCCTTCCCGTTCGCTGACTCTAGATTCACTTTCACTTGATTCAAATCGCAAAGCCATGCAAACTTCGGAGAAAACACACAAAAAGACTTGAGTCTATTTGATCTATCCCAATCACAGTCAAGGATGAGGGTCAATACAGCCTTCACCCATAAAATGAATAGGATAGACATGGATAGACCCGAAAACTGAACGAAATAAATCAACGAACCACGACGGTCTGTCTCGGTTTTTCCGCTGAGCCAGCCACTGTTCGCCGTGGTGTCCCAGGTCCAACGGTCACTTTCAGGTGATCCACAGAAGCTCCAAACGTCCGAAAAGGCCGCAGCATCATCACCCAGCTCCTTCTGAACCTCTCTCACCTCCTGAAGAGGAGAGGAGGACAGGCGTCCGTCGACCCGTCGACGTCCAGACGAGACGTGACGACGAGACTCGGACGATTCTCTTGATATAGATTTCAATCCCCCATAGGAAGAGCTTGTACAATCCAAATTGGTGCCTGTGTGTGGGCACGCGTCGTATGATCGTCCGCAAGTTTCGTGCATCCCAATTGGTGCCTTCTTAGTCCACGAGTCGGTATCCATCACCTCCCGAGTTCCGAGGTGCGACGTCCCGTGTGCCAACCGCCCCACTGAGTGCAGATTGAAGGTATTGTTGGATCCCACATGCATCGAGAGAGAAAGATCCGTAACACGATTCGTAAACATGCATAAACATCTCAGTTTTAGCACTTCACTTCAGCTTTTGGTGTTGCCAATAACATCACCATTTGACAAATAGAGCGCTTGGGCTTCTCCCCGTTCCTCGTCTCGGATATTCAAGTCGCCCGCCAGGAGTGCGGCACCCTTGGGTGGCACCCTCTTCCGCAAGAGTCGTAGGGCTTGCAGCAGTTGACGCTTGCGTTCGACCGCATGGTCCTTGGTACTTTCCAAGTGAGCGGTGGCCAGCAAAAGAGGCCCTGCCGGCCCTGCCGATGCCGGCACGTCCACCTTCACCAAGAGCAGTTGCCGGCCCATTTGACTCTTTGGAAAGGGCACGGTCTCGACCTCGCCCCATTTCACTCGCTTGTCCACCAACATGGCGACATAGTATGGAAGCGGAGGGTCCTTTGGAACAAGCACCTCATAAGCTGCTCCCAGCACTTTGTCAGATGAGAGCAACCTGAGTGGAGCCATACTTGCGCTATCCAAACACGAAAACTCTGTAGCAATCCAAACAACGTGAGGTTGTGTACGATCATGCTTGGAAGGGGACCAAGACAAAATGGTTCAATAGTACATCATATCAGCATGCAGCATGTTCAGATATTTTAAAATAGGGGCGACAAGCAAAGGTAGTGCATGCAAGCATTAGCATATTATTGTCATTATATATCCCTGCTGAGCCTGTGAGTATGTTCTAATGTGCATGCAGCAATCGGCTAGGCTTTGTTCACTAGCAATAGATTGCAATTGATCTATATCTATAATTGTGCACTGTTTTTGGTATCTATTATAGATCAATGATCAAGCAAGGCCTGAACCTTCGCGGCAAGCGCCCTACCCCGTCCGGCTTCAAGGCCCGAGAGAAAGAAACTCGACGATCCCGAAGTTCCCTGAAACGCACGTCTCCCGAGTGAAGACCCAAAGATCAAAGGACGAAATCTCTTCCAGATGCCCATCCATCGTGAAGCTCAAACCAAACTGACCACCATGAACCCAAAAGACTGGCCTTCCTGAAATGTCCACGAAACATCCTTCCGCACTGCATTCCGCCACCTTGGCTCCATCCCCCTTCTGCACCGCGTGTTTGGAGGCTGGTGGCTCCAAGGCGGGAGGGATGACCTCCTGCAGTAGCACCGCCAGGGGCCGCTCTCGGGCGATGTGCTTCGCCACAGCCAGGACACGCAACGCCAGGGCCTGGCCTCAACGCCCACGCCGAGCGCTCGACCCACGGGAGCCGGGTGTTGGGAGTCGCAGCGACCAGGGAACTCATACGACTTGACCAACCAGGAACTGACTGACTGCGAGCATTGGGCGAAGAGACCATACGCCGACCTCACTGTGATTGGAAGATGACTTGCTCCAGAGAGGATAGTTAAAGCCTACGGCTGTGGAGCCAAGGCTCATCGCAGACAGAATTTGGATGAATTCTGGATAAACTTATCATTAACCTACACCACTGTAAATGTACACTGCCTGAAACAATCATGGAGTGGATGGCCTGGATGACCATTTTCCTCTACAGATTCAATGATTATTTCAGGAAGTGTAGACATTTTTCGAGTTCCACTTCAATGATTATTTCGGGAAGTGTAGACATTTTTCGAGGAGGTGAGAGAGGTTCAGAAGGATGGTAGAGAGGTAAATACTACATACACCACTCACCAAATCTATTTCATTCTACTTCTGGAATTTTCAATAAAGAACGATATCTTCTTCCCCCGTCCAGCATCACCGCGCTCGCCGCCTCCGCCCACTTCGTCCAAGCCATCGATGTTCCAACTGAGCACCCTCAGCGTCCGTTCGCTCGCCGTCGCCGCCAAGAGCTGGGCAATCTCCGCGGTGTGCTCCCTGGGGATGACGATGGCATTGGGATCCTCAGAGATCGGAGGCCGTGAAGAAAACACTAGAAGAGACCGTGGTCTGTCTGTCTGTCGGTCGGTCTGTCTGTCTGATTGCATCTAAGACTTAGTACAAAGCATCCCATTGGAAGTGTGGTAAGCAAGGAATCAATTCGGCATAGTTGAAGATAGAATAATTAGCTATAGTTGGTGTCACTAAAGCCCCCACTTGAGGCCTCTTCTACGATTTTTGTTGGCTTTACTGTACATGGTGGACACCAGGACGGCTCACTAGCCCAGTAGCCCACCTCTGATTTATACAACATATCCAAAAGATTGCAAAAGCAAACCTACTTATACTGAAGTTTACTGAAAACACGTACAGTAATTAGTCATGTTGGCCATTTACCAGAGTGGCCTCACCCAATGCTTTCAGTCCTATATAGCCAAATATGTATCACACATCATCAAACCACATCATTCAAAAAACAAACCACAAAAAGTCCTGCGAATCCACACTGCCCAGTAGCTGCCACCTTGGCCCGCTTGGCAGGCCGTCGGTATTCCTCCGGCGCATCGGCGAGCAGTGAGCCGATGGGCAAGTCCAGCTGGTCCGCCGGAAGATGTGCCAGTGCCGCCGGGAGCGATGCCGACGGGAGCGATGCCGGGGAGGTCTCCTGTGGTGGAGGTCAGGTTTTCAGGTCTAAGGTACACAAAACCAAACCTAAAGAAACCAAGAATCCCAAGAAACTAAGGCTTTCAGGTGTAACCAAGAGGTTGTGAGGTCCCAATCGCGTGCAAGCTCTAGACTCTAGCCACCCCCTGGCACGAAGGCGGCGTGCCCTGTGCAGCAGGACGTGCGCGCGGTCAAATACTTAAGCCCATTAGCTTATAGTCGATGTAAGCTACCTCTGAGGATTGGCTGGCCAAGAGTTTGGGATATGTACTTGAACTGAGTCAGCTCCTTCTGTGCCAGAAACTTCTCCCTGGCTGCCTGGCGAATTGCCTGCAACTGTGGATCCACAGGTCGTGCCATCCGGCTCCTCACATGACATGCGGATGTGTTGAGTACTTTGGATTCTGCACAAGCCATGCATAGCCGCAAAGCGGTCCCTGAGTAAATAGAAACGGTTTCCATATGCAAAGAGGTTTCATTCCTCTCATCTTTTTGCCTACAGCGGATATCTACATATGCAAGTCAGTGTCCACCAAGCCAATTGCCAACATGTAAGACCTCCCCAGCATTGCACTCTCCCTGCTCGACCACCACTGGTCCTTCAGCTGCAAACAGCAGCTAAGTACGCTGCTCCGTTGCTCCGCCAATCACTATGGCTGGCTATCTTTCAACCCTACAATAAAGCAAACTCAATTATTAACTAGAAACTCATGCTGCACTCTTGCTGAGGCTATAATGCAATTAACTTCAGATTTGTTTATGACAAAACAACATGTTCATGATTATCCACGAACCCTGCATCCATCTTGTCGGATCAATTCCCCTTGAATCCAGGGTGTGCCACAAATCTCCAGGAAACGTTTGGAACCCATGATTCATCATCTTCATCTCTTGCTGATTCTGTTGAATCTCATGTGTCTCAGCGACCTTCGATCCAAACAACTCATGCATACATATATATATATATATACACTCTCATATTCATAGATACGTATGTATATAAAGTTATATATAACACACATGTTGTTACATTTCGTGCAGTATTGTCCTCGCCCAGCAAAGCATGTTGGGAGATTCTCTCATACATTTGATAATTAAGTCTGGTCAAATTGTGTATTCACCTTTTGAAACTATTGGATTGAAAGGCTATTGGATTGTAGAGCTGGATGATCCCTGGTGCCTCAAATGCAGGATGATCCTTTGCTTTCTCTAACAGTTAGAACCCAGATCCGTAGAACGAATGCACCGTCTCCTGGTTTCGCCATCGCTTGACGGGCCGCCGGGTCGATCTAGAGCCCGGCCCGTCTCGCCCGCGTCGTGCGCTCCACCACTGCAGGGCATCGCGAGCGAAACCGGGTGCTCTGACAATGTTCATAAGCGATAACAAAGCTTGTGCCTGGCACCGTAGCTGGCAGGATGAAGCTTTTTTTCAGTCACGAGGCTCCGTATGGCGCAGGCCATTTGGTTCACTTGTCTTGGACCCCCCCAAAAAAACTATCTATTGGAAGAAGAAGACTCCGTCTTCCGCGGAGTGGTGAACAAACTAACTAAATCACCTCAATGGGTCCGTCTTGAGGTTTCCAGATGAAAAAGTGGACATAGGGGGGACGCAACATCCCATGTTAACAATCCTTGAACCATCGACATCACTCCGACTGGCCAGTCTACTGCCGAGACTAGTTTGACCAATGATCAATGGAGACGATCATTTGGGCCACCATTCACCGTAAACACCGTGGTTTTGCTGCATGTGTTGCGCGAAACAACAATTCCCAGGAGCACCCGTTCTGAAAAGTGTTGGGTGTGCATGCTTGACCCACAGCCACACTTGACAATATCTCCAAACACTTAGACATCAGTGGAATTTTTGAGAACATCCACCTGCTACCACAGAAACATCCAAAAAAAAACATGTGTATATATATATATGTATGTGACAGGGAAAAAAAAAACATAGTTTGAGTGGTTGGTGGTCCAACAAACAGAGATCCTTCAGGTTCTAGGTATACATATATTAAATAAAATTATTAATATAACTACTGAGGTCAGCCTGGCCCTGAGCCGAAACCCGCCTTCTCGCTGCGACCGTCCGTGCTTTCGCCTCCAGGCGCGTCTCCCCCAGCTCCGCAAAGGCCGACCGAGCTGCGGAGGCCCACCTCGGTGTGAGAAAGGGCTGTCGGTTGGGCCGAAAAGAAGGGTTGATGTCTATATAGAAACATGGTTAAACCAAAAAACAGTGTATGTTTTTTGTTGGAAGTGCTTGATAATATGTAATATGATTATAGCTGTGATAGTTCTATATAGTGTTGGAGCACCAGGATGCACCAGGTAGTATATACATAGTAATTCCATGTAATTCCTGAATCACAAAAACCTGTGCACATAGAATATGGTCGATTTTGTTTATGATGTGTATGTATAATTTAGTGTTTTTTGTTGTAGATCTCGAAACAAAAAATGATATGATAAGACAAGAACCTAGGTTTGACTGTTAACCGATTGGTTTGTCAAAAGCAACTATTTAAACAACTATCGTGCATATCATATTCTATCTACAACTTCCCTATAGGTCCTAAAGCTGCGAGTTCCATGGGAGATGTCCCATCGCGAGTTCCTAAAGTGCGTACCTTGCTGTAAGCAGGGTAGACAAAAGGATGTCCCTCAACTTTGAGTTGTTTGGGTGATCGACGGTCACTCGCCTGAATCTGAAGGGGACTGCAGGTGACAGTCATAAGTTTTGATATGTAAACATGTGTAAACCAATCAACAGCCATAGGCCAGGCTAATCTTTGTAAGTAATTAGTGGATCTAGTGAGCTAGAGTAGCGTACGTAGCTTGGCGCCCGGAATCCCCGAGAGGTTGAGTGAGTGCCATCGGTTTGCCAAATGGTCGATTCAATCTCCCAACTATATTATCATATCACTTCGTATGAATTTGTTTTCTTGCTGCCATGTTCTCTGAAGCTCTAAGACTCAAGCAGTCTGAGGTTAAAGGGAGGCTCCCGGATGCCACCACACAAACCTCCCAGTCACCACGGCGACGGTTTTCACGGCGATTGGCACCAACCACCAGTCCGCTGGGGCCCAGGGCTCTTTGGCGCGCTCGCGATTCCGGCGGCCACGCCTCACAAACCGAAGAAAAAGTGATGCGGTCGGGAAGACGGGAGGGGTTTCTGATGGTTTCTGTTACTGACCGGTGTTCTTAGGATGAAAAGCTCTAAGTATATCAATCTGGCAAATGTCATGCTGAAACTGTGGGAAAGCAAATGACCACGCTTATTAAGTAGGGATCTGGATCAGTGCTCAAAGAATATATCCCACAAGCATTAGAGGACATCTATATCAGATTTGATGTTCGACTAACTTGAGACGTGTTGATTGCGAGCTCCTTTTCGCCCTTGCTCTTTGACAACTGATCCGGGCCGCAGTACCAAACAGCAATGATCCAAGAGTTCAACAAAATATATCCACCACCAAAGAACAGTCATGGCACCTGCTATAGTGGTCAATACCACCAATACACATCCCACCTGGAGGGCATCCATTTTGCTTTGATTGAAGGGCCAACCTTAAAACCACTAGGACCTAGGAACCCCAGCATCCATACAATCCTTGGACTTTGAGGTATTTTATGATGTAATCAGTATGTACTTTGTCCGGCAAACATTCATGGGGTTCTCCTACATTCCCTTTCCCGAAAAGTTGTCTTTCACTTCCCTTTCATGAACCTTTTGCCTGCTTTCCCGCCCACAGCAAAATGTAAGTTCCTTGTTTGTTGTCGTTCCTGGTTTCATTTTTGGTTTACCTCTTGTTTGTTGCTGTTTGCGGTTTCATGGCCGGTTTACGAACAAAATTTGTCTTAGTAAAGGAGAGGTCATTGGCTTCACCTTTCACTTCACTTCCGGCAGCTTGAATGACAACGTTTTCAGAGTTTCAACAACACGACATGGAATCCATTCGATTACTAAACCTTGGTCCTGGGTACTGTCCTGGGTCTATCCTATTACCAGGTTTCAGTGGATGATGATGGTTCAGTTGCAGGCCTTGTTCCAAACTAGTGATAATTGATGATCGGTTGAGCAGGGATTTGTTTAAAGATGTGGTGGTGCTATCATCCTTGGGTGCCTACGTAGAACCCGACGGTTTCGCTGCGCTTCCACAGTGAAAGCCTACGGCAGACATGGCTTATTCCACATCTACGGGAAATCTACGAACGTGAGGTTTTGGAGCATTACTGTTCCAATTTACCTACTACGGTACCATGCAGTTCTTGCGAGTGGAAACGTTTACGCAGCAGCCGACCCTTTATCTTTCAGATGATGAGCTCGGCAGAGCGGCCCAAGTCGTTAGCAAACAAACGGAGCAAATGCCAGCACAAAGGCACTCTACGATGGGCAAGTTGGTTTCATTGGCTATGTGCTTCACAACGAAAGACAAGCAAGAAAGCGACTTCATGCTAATCATGAGTTTTGAACATTACTTTGGAGGCGAGGGACGATACCACGCGGGACGTGCACTGACGCGTATAGTCTCCCCATGTCTTCGACATTGGGAATACTTCTCAGAACAGCAGGTTTTAACATCTACTTGACAGTACTATAGGCAAGCGAACATGGGGGAAGTATCACAAAATACATTTTCGCCTACGGTGCCTGTACGGAGAACCTACGGTGAGCCTACGGAAAATGTCCCCAGGAAAACAACACAAATTCAAAAGAGTTGTTTGGGACATTGTTGGGAGTTCTCACCTCTTACACAAAAACAGTGGCCTTTCTAACCTCCCAGGTAGTCTTGGCATTGTGTTTGCATTGCAATGTCTTGCGCTTTTCTCTGGTGGTCATTCTAAGTGCCCTTGCAAACTGCCCCTGGTTCATGTCTCAGACTATGAGATGAAAGACATCTGCTACAAGAAACTGAGACAAAAAAGCCACTGTCAATTCTAAGTTCAATCAGAAACGCAAGCTGGGTGACTTCAAGGCATGCTATTTCGGTCGATTTTGGTCGCCTACGCAAACGCATACGACAAACATTAGACCATACAATGCCTACGACCGCCTACGTCCCCAAGCAGGTTGCCTACGCCAGCCTTTTGAAGGTTACAGTACATTTTGCATAACCCTTTCATGTCAAGAAAAAGCTCAGCTCAGTTGTTGACTGTTACAGATCATAGGACACCCCCGAACTCAAACCTCTTGACTATAGACTTATCGGACGCCTCCCTCCCACTTCCTGTGTCCCGACGTCCCCCAGTGAAAGCCCACCCTGAGTGCGGCGCTCCGCCCACCGGAGGCGCTCACCGTGCACCTCGTCGTCGTCGTTCCAGCTTGGGGATCCCCACTTGTCGTGATTGATTTGGGACAAGAGCAGCAACATCCTGGCCTGCCAACAGGAAGCATCTTCATTGGTTGGGCCCAAAGAACCCCAGCCACTGGATCTTTCCACCAGGCACCGATTCACATCGATCCTCTCCTTCGCCAAGGCATCGCTCGCGGCAAAGGCCTCCAGCTGGGCGTGGGCCTCGGCGTCGGTGGGAATATTCTGGCACCCCCCATGGGCGGCACAGTTCTGGCGAAGCCAATCCCATTGAGAAAGGGCTTATCAGGATGTGAGGGGTCAAAACCACGAAACAAGCAACAAGCAAGGTTGTCAGGTTTGGAGTTCGACCCAAACGGCATCTTGTAGAAACATGATGAAACATGTATAGAAACCAATCCCTCCACAAACAGAACAAGGTACTGACTAGGACTGTGTATGACGTTCATTGGTTCCCTTGATTTCTCGCATCTCACTAGTTTGCTTGCCAAACTTCTTTTCAAACCCCTTCATGGTGCAAAAACATCTGGTGACTCATCAGCTTGCTATTCCGATTGTTGGGTGGTTTAACACCTCTTTCTTTCACCCAGGGTCACTTTCGGGTATGAATCCATCCAACACGTGACGGAAGCGAGGCTGGAACAAATCGCACCAGCTGCTTGAGAATGTCATAATCTAAATCATAATTCTTGAGGCAACGCTTTTTTTGCAACACAAATGCCCCTATGTCTGGCGTCAGCCACCGCGGGCCCTCAGCAAGGCACCAATTCATGCGCGTCTTTCAGCCTTCCCTGGCCGATCAAGCAAAAATAACGGCACAGTTTTCCAGCACAGAGGGTCAATCCGAATCCACGCAAGGCAGGTGTCTGTGGCTGTCTGTGGCAAAAGCTCAGTTTACTATGTGTATTTCCAAGGACCTGTGGGCGGGGGTTGTTTTGAAGACATTTGGAACATAATTCTAAACATTCAAGGTCACTATTCCTCTTGGTCCACAGATGGGAGTGATTCAATGATCAGGCTGAGAGTCCCAAATGTCCCAAAGTTCACCAGGTTGACCATGCCATCACAACACCCAGTCATCTAGACATGCCTAGGCCATGGTGCACTACTTCCCGAGTTGGAAGGAGACTCACTCACCTGGCCTCCCGGATGGATCCCAATGACCTCACCATATGGAACCCGGCAACCTCGAGTCATCGACGGGTTTCGGACATGTTTCAGTTGCCGCAACGTCGATGAACCAAACAAATTGCCAGCCTTCTCGCCTTGGAACATGAGAGACATGTTTGTTGATACTTCGAACACCCAAAATTGTCTTCCCTAGACTGTATGTATATATAAGTAATATTAAGTAATCATATATGGGGAAATTGGTGCATACAACTTAGGTCCAATGGGATGATACGCACTCTATGACAATCTATGAGATAGGCTGAACACCCCCCTTCCTCGCAAGCGCCTGCGTTTGCCGAGCATAGACCACCAGGCGGCAGGCATCCACGATCGCAGCTGACTCCCCTGGCGAAGACCGTCCGAGACGATGGGGAGTTCCTCGGACGAACTGGCAACACGCCCGCGTCCCCGGTGTGGAGTTGGGCCATTGCAAGGTTCATTTTTCGGATGCGTTTCGTGCTTCAGGTGCCTAGTTATTTACTTGATGTCTTTAGATAAACGCAAAACCCTAAGCGAAACAACTGTGTTATCAGCGTTTGCCTGTTGTGCACATGTGGGGTTTCTTTTGGCGGTACTACACTCGGAACACTCACAAGACCCTTGGTCTTGACGACGTTTATCAAAATACGGTGCGCCTGTTGTATTCTGAAAAGTTTGCGTTCCAACCATCTCAACCAACCATTTCAACAAACTACGTCAAACAAATTCAAATAAATACCTTAAACATATCTGGGGAAATATATCATTTACCGCCTTGAACCCAGTGGATTGCTTGTGGGCCTTCCTCACTAGCCCCCCAGATTCTTCCACACACCGGCGAATTCCGCCTTCGGCTTCCCGGAAGAGGCCCAGCGCGCGCTCCGCGCAGGCAGCGCCTTCCTGGCGATGGATTTTTTGTTGTGGAAGGAGAGTATGACAGCATCTGCAAGTTAAAAAAATAGATTTAATAACTCTATACTATACATATCTGTATAATAATGTCTATTCTGGGCTCATCAATATGAGCACCCCTACAAAACTAATCCGTAATCAGTCCAAACAGTCTGTAATCCGAAATAATCCTTAATCCGCAATAGTCCGTAATCCTTACCCAGCCTGATAATCCGTAAGCCTCATATAAGCTGTAGGATGGAAAAAATTGTCACCCAAACACCCTTCACAGTCCAACACCCCCAAATCAGTTGTTTGAGTTGGTTGCTTTCAAATCGGGGTTGTGAGGACCCCTATACGGCCACAAGCACCCTCACAATTTAGAACCTCCAATTCAGTGGTTCAAGGCGGTTGCTTCCAAATCGAGGTTGTGAGGATCCCTATGGCCCATGGCCACAAACATCGTTCAAAATCAAGAGCCGCAATTCAATGGTTTGATTTGGTTGCTTCCAGACGGGGCTTGTGAGGATCCGTACATGGCCATTTCAAAGCCAACAGCCCCCCCATCCAGGAGTTCGGACCGGTTGCGACACAGCTGTGGATGGAGAACTCAACACAATAGAGCTGCTGTTTTGGACTCAGCTTCTTTAGAGGAATGGACGCAGGTCTTCCGGAGCACACGATGGGCCATGCTCTTAAGTTCCCCGTTCTGTTGCTGCCAACTCTGCATTTCCGACTGCCACGACGATGTCCTCAGAGGATCACCCTCCACTGGGGCAGGGCCAGAGGCACCTGGACCAGATAGGGGGGTGGTCTGTCGCCTCCCAGGAAGACGCGTGTCGCCACGAATCCTTTGACCCCCTCTGACTTTGCTTTTCAGGGACGGGTCCAGTCAAGTGGATTCGCGCTCGCTGGTCAACTGACTCATCATCCAACTGGTCCAACTGATCATAAGTTCTCGTCTGGCGCTTTTTCAGCAAGGGCCTAGGTAGGGTCGCTCCACATCAGCATTCTGGAAAACACAACAAGCGGCAATCACATGCACTGCGATTGGAGCAGAATCTTGGTTGCCTCGAAACTTCACTGGTTTGGAAGGAAGACAATGACAATCCTGAACAAACAAAAAGATGTGGTTTGGCTACACCATGCGGAGCTCTCCCGCCCACCAAGTCAAGAAGGTGTCGGAGCCAACCAAGGACACACTTCAACCTGGCACATAGTATGTGCCAGGTTAGGTTAGAAGCACTGAAAAGTGCTGCATCGCCCCCGACCACTTTCACGACTTCGGTCGAAGTCTGAGACTTCATGCGAAGATGACAGTCTGCTGTGTCTCCGACACTATCAGCTTTTTGTTTGGCAATCTTTCAATATGAATCTGACTGCAGAATGCCGCCAGCACGCAGTCCTAGCTAATCACGGGTACGAAGCGAGTCACGGATTGGACACGGATTCCTGAACTTACTGCTATCTGTTTTGGATTGGTTCTGGAGAAGTGCATGGTGAACGGCAAAATAAATGTGTTCAAACATTAACCAGAATCTGGATTAGCATCGACACGGGCAGGCTCAAAAAGCTAAAGCCAAAGGTCTGCGCGTGCCCCCAAAACATATTCATGCGTCTTGGTCCAACCGACACACGCACAGTTCTCTATCATCTAATCTAAGCATTGCAATTCCTCTGTGATCTAAGGATTGCATCTGTGGGGGGTGGGGTAGGTGGGTGGGATATCGGAATGATTGGCCCATGGCCACTTCGTCACATCTTACATCCGTGCACAGCCGACACACACACACAGTTCTCTATGATCTAAGGATGACAATTCCTCTGCGATCTGAGGATGGCCATTGACTACAGATGTGATAAGTTGCTCGTTGTGTGTGTGTGTGTGGGGTGGTTGTATTCGGCAGCTCGACAGTTCTAGTCAGATGTTGCAAGACATGTGAGCGGTGCTCAAAAAGGTGTGGTCTTTTTCTTTGCGAGAATTCCAGCCGTAGAAGGTCTTCCGCAACGCTTACGTTTTCCTATGTTTTCCTATGTGCAGGGTTATCCTTACGTTGTGCTTACGGCCGAGGATATATTATGTGCCTGTTGCAATAATTGGGCCCAGATGGATTGACAGCAAAAGCAACTTCAACTTGCGGCAGCCCCACGGCACCGTGCTCTGCTGCAGATCCTTTCGGCAAACCTTACAAAAACCTTACAAACATCAGCTCAAATCATTGTCTTTATTGATTTTTCACCAGTCCCCTACTCAAAAAGAAGAGGGGAAGTTAAAACGCTGCTCGTGTGTAGCCATAGAGCTACTTCCTGAATGGCTAAGTCCTATATGTAATGGTAGAACATGTTGGCACCTAACCGTTGTGTCAAACCCATCACTCATCACTGAACATGTTGCGCTCACCTAAAGACCGACGCGCAAGCGACCCCAAAAGCCGACGCACAAGCGACCCCCCGCTCTACCCCATGGCTGGCCGGGAGACCACACAAGCGAACCATCGCGCCAGCTCGGGTGATGGAGCCGAAGGTGCTCCAGGATCAGAGTTGTCTCACCAATGGGAAGGATCTGCACATGCCAAAAAAAATCTAGAAGAGATCCCAAAGCTCTAATCCGTAATCCTAGTCCCAAAACGGACGCTCTGAGTTCTAATCTGTAATCCTCCCCAAATCGATAGTTTGTAATCCGTAATCCCCCTTAGGATTAAGGATTATGTTTGATGAGGCCAGTCTATATAAAATATGCTGTGTATCTCATATATATTGTATTATCTAGCTACTAGCTACTTCATCTATCCACTTATCAGTCTATCTATCGATCCATGCGTTGTTCTATCAACATCTACCCACAGAATCTTTAGCTTTGGGAAGATGGTCTTAGCGGACCATCGCGGGAACTGGGAACAAAAGTGAACCTAAATTATCGGAGGCTCTGGTGTGTGAGGACCTGGGGGCAATCAGCAGCATCAAATCATAATGACTCGATATGTACCAGTATTACATGAAGTGCCACAAGCTAGATCCGAGTGAAACTTCTAAAGAGCTCAGGGGAACTTCAACTGTGGCAACTGTGTGCTCATCTATTAAGGAAGCAATGCACCTGGTTGTACAGCAATGCCCTTTTTCCCAGACCAACATGATACAAATACAAAAGCTATCAATGGGAAATTACATTACTATATGACTCTATATGTAGAGGTGAGGTAGACAGCTTCAGCTTCTTGTTCAGATCGTTCAAGTCTCTATGACAAACAACGTTATGTGCTCACATGTTCACAAGAGATTGTCAAATGAGAATGACCAGTGACAAGAGAGAGGTGGCGGCCGGCCCCACCAGTTTAGGCATAATAAAAATAGACATTATCTTTGACCCTCCCCAAATGCTGGAGACTCTTGCTTCTACCAGCCTCGAAGCGTCCTTCCTCCAGGTGCTGTGCAGCGGAGACCTCGGAGATCCCAGATGGGAGCGAGGCGCTTCGTTTGCAGCGAACGACCCTACAAAGGATGTTGCACTCAAACCAACCTGACCGTACAGTTTTTATGCCCAGCTTCACCGTCGAAAGCCCCAGGTTGAGGATGTTTATAAAGGTGTGACAAGAATTGGTTAGAGCCGGATTCGGAAACTAATCAGCCGGATTCTGAAACTAGGGTTCTGAAACTGGGGTTCTGAAACTAGGGTTCTGAAACTTGGATTCTGAAACTGATATTCTGAAACTGGTGTTCTGAAACTAGGATTCTGAAACTGGGGTTCTGAAACTAGGATTCTGAAACTGGGATTCTGCAACTTGTATTCTGAGACCGGAAAGTCAGATTCTGCAACTAGTATTCTGAAACTGGGATTCTGAAACTGGAAAGTCAGATTCTGCAACTGGCATTCTGAAACTGGTATTCTGCAACTGGTGATCTCCACATCATGCGATAGCGTGTGCCTGTGACTTTATCTTCGAAGCACATCCAAACCAACATCATTAGACCCCCCCCCCCCCCCCCCCCCCCCCCCCCCTTGTCCCCATCGTGCGATCTCGACATCACGCCAACGCCCTCATCATTCACAAAAGTTGCGGAGTCCTAGTGATGGAATCCACAATTTTGCGGAAATCTAGTTGCGGAACGCCAGTTGCGGAATCCCAGCTGCAGAATCTTAGTTGCGGAATCCTGACAGTTGCGGAATCCTAGTCTCGGAATTCTAATTAGTTGCGGAATTCTAGTTGCGGAAACCTAGTTGCGGAATTCCAGTTGCGGAATCCTAGTTTCGGAATCCTAGTTGCGGAATCCCAGTTGCGGAATCCGACCAATAGCTAGTTGCGGAATCCTGCGCAGTTGCGGAACTCGACTTTATCGGACAAGAATTCGCTGTTGATTTGACAGTCTTCACGAAGTGGGGATATGACACCCTGAGAAAGCAACAAAATACCACATACATAGGCTTGAACTTGAACAAGGAACGTCGTTTTTAGGCAACCAACCAACAGAAAGAGAAGCTACCCTACAAGCATCTGACCTTGGCGAAAGTGTGAGTGTCCGACACTCTCCTTGACTATATTACTATATATAATTAGTGGAACCCCCTATTGAATTCCCCAGGACGAGGCCTTAGGCATAGATATATAAAACCCGGGGCTTCTACAAAATCATATAACATGTCTAGAACATGCAAGGCTATAAGGTACTCAAGGAAGAGGTGCTATATAGGGTGGGTCTTTAGAGGAACAAAAAGTAAAATCCGAAATCAGTGTCCGGACAGTGACCTCTATAACATGTTTTGCCCAAGCCAAATCAGATCAAATCAGGCACCTGTGAATTTCATCATAAGCCCTGAACAGCATTTTAAGAGCACATAGTCAAGATTGAAATTCATGGACCTTGAGGTTGGGCAGAGCATTCCAATTCTTGTTTTTGCAGATTCACTCGAATTTATCCAAGCTCTGGCAAGTACGCCACAAGACACATCAAAGTTAAATTGTCGAAATTAACGCACTCTCATCCATTCTCATCCGCTATCGGATTTTGTGGCTCCTTTGGCGTCTTTGTTTGTATGGAACTCGTATCTCTCTCCCGTTCAGTGCCACACCATTTCTCTCGCGCCCGGGCTGACCTGGTTGGACGTTTGAGCTTCCCACGGGTGTCGGTCTCGTCATTTGAGCTACCCGGTGGTCGAGACGGTCGTTTGGGGTTCCCATGTCTTCGCGCCTGCTTCTGGTATTTCTCGGCCTGAGCAACGCAAAACCCCGCAAACCGCAGAACCCAGCCGAGGGTCTTTCTTCCTGCCTTGTTGGATGGCCTCCGGCCCTGCCATGGAGGCCATAAGGGTGCATCATTCCACTGAAACATATGGAAAAAAGTGGCACACAAACATTGACAGTATCAAACAACCAACAAGCTAAATGAACACTTAATTATGATGGATCTAAATGGATCTTGTAGTCGTAGCAATCAAGCTGCAAAGTTGAATGCATGTGTGCATCCTTTTGGGGGTTATAGAACCACGTGTCTCTGCATCAGACCATGAATAGGTCAACCATGAGTCAACGACTTGGCGTCTCCGGACGTCTCCGGACATCTCCTCCGCCGAATCCGACCGGAGTTCTCCACCCCAAAGCCGTCATGGCTCGACCAAACCAGTGGTAGTAACTAATTACATAGTACACCTGGGAAAAAATAACATGGAACCTGACACCCACTGGGTTGTAGAGCAAAATAATTTTCCAAAGGTCCATTTTCAGGTTCCATGTCAATTGTCACAGGTGTAGAGTGATAGAACTGATAGAACTGGGAGTTCCCACTGCATAGAGTTAACATGAGTTAACTGATCATCCACTGATCGACCTGGGACTTCCCCGCACATCCCAGCTCGCGACGGTCCAGCCCTGACGCCTGGAGACCGATCCGATGGACGTCCGATCCGAGCGACGAAGCGAGGTTCGCTCAAACAAAGCCCTACAGGTCCAAAGACGCAGTAAAGACATGTAAAAAATGTGTGTGAAAACCATGTCATATCTGGTCCTTTACCTCCTTGAACCATGTTGTTTTTGATTGTTTCTTCATGTTCTTTTTCTATGATCAACTCCAGCACCATGAGGTCCAACTGACCTGTCCGGGAAAAACCCTCGCCTGTGGCCACACGCTGGTGGAGATCTCCCAATCCCACACCTGGCGCCCAGAATCCGCCCGGATCCGAGCTCGATCTCCGAGCTCCGCCCAGGTCAAGCGAGCTGAACGGTGAGGAGCGGTTTACCAGGCACATGATGAAGTCAAAATGCGTTTCAAAAGTAATATTCAAGCCTGCGTTTCTCACAAGTACAATGTGTTCGTATGTCAAGGTGGTAAGAAGATACTGTAGTAAGAAGTGTCTCATGACGTGTGACACTTACACACCAGGCGAGACTTGCTCAATGGTTTTCCATCTTCCCTTGATCTGCGATTGACGTTTGACCGTTGGAGCCGATCCAACGATCCAACTCTTCGGCGCTTTTGGGCTTCTTGAGGACGGCGTCAGTTACTGTCGCTTCGGGGGTGGGGGCAGCGGCGAATCCGTGTGAAAGGAATCTCATTAATTCTAAACTATATTTATAACTCGAATCATAAGTGATATATGTTTGAGAACCTACTCAAAGAACACAATGGCATTGCCCTTGAGGTTGCCGGGCTCAGCACACGTGTCACTTGACTCAACCATGAGCAAACCACAAAAAAGTGTCCTTGCTGAATCCCACCTGCATGGCTGGCAACCATAGGTCATCACACAGATGTGGCCGCCAAATGTGTCTATTTGCTATGTGTCTATCTCTATATTATATGATATGCCTTGCATGCTGGCTTTAAGAAACCAATCGCACTTATATTATATAATGTTGTGGCGCAACAATGCGCAACGTGTGCATTTGAAATTGAAACTCAGGCTGTTCAGCAGCCATAGTGCGCATCAACACATCTTTCCCTGAGTTGTTGGAAGTTGGCTTCCGCTGACTTGATTGAACGAGGCATTCCGACAGGAACACCCTATCGAAACAACTATTATGGTAACTGTTGTGTTTTCTCCAAACAACGGCGCCGGTCAGCGACGGATGAATTGAGCCATGCCAAAAACCCATGTTGCAACCTTCGATTATATAGTCCTCCTACTAAATCCATCTAAATCCTTTACATGGAAGATCATATGGCGCTGCTCGGGTCTCCCCATGTCTCGTGTCACATGAGCCAAACGGCCGGATCCGGCCACCGGTGGAAGAGATTCGCCAAGGCAACCAACAACCCATGCTGTGTGGAACGCGATAGCTGTCCGGCTTGGGGTGAGAAAGCCGTGAAGTCACTAGACGTGGTCTTTTGCAACAGCTGCGTGTGTAAGGAGATGCTGTAAATCAAGACTGGCGGATCATGAATGTGTCTCTCGCGTTCTTTTTCATGAACGCTCTTAGATGAACTGATGCCCGTTGCCATACGTCGCCACCCTTGGAGCCATACGTCCGAAACCCCTCGTGCCTAAGATCGCCCCCACAACTGGTGTTCCATGAGGTGTTGAGAAAAAAGGATCCACTCTGATGTTCGGAATACAAACACTCTGTGAAGATCAAAGTAAGTGCCGCCTCCACCTGCAACAGTTTGCTGCTTAGTAAGTTCACACACCCAATCAACTCCCAGTGTGAATTGCGTCGAAAGGAGACAAATTCTGGCCCCCATCCGACCCCAGCATTTGCTGCTAACAAACAAGGACGGAATCCAATACACAATTTACAGTAGATCTCACCATCATGAGATGTTCATAATGTTGACACAGGATTAAGTAATCTCCCCTCATTAATCAAGCCCAGCTCCCCCAGAAAACAAAATATACAGTATATAATTGTTATAGCTATTTATTATCCATCATCCATCATCAGGTCCAGGTCATCATCTCATCATCCTCACCTTTGTTAAGGGGATGTGGTCGCCAATCCCTCCAATCTCAAACCTTGTTGACCTTGAGGGGGGTGATTAATCTGGTGTTGACATTATGTCTATTGAAGATCATGGGAAACTCCCCATTGCTGAGAGCCCTGCAGCTGCTTTACTGTCGTTCGCTTTTTGTCGGCTAACTGCTAACTCACCAACCCCGGGCTGACCAAACCATCTGCTTCCGGGGTGGCGCAAACCAAACACACGGAGCCAGCGCAAGTGGTTTCCTATGATGAAGAATTTGATTTGAGTCCTTTGGCCCACTGGGATCTTTGGGTGCAAAGTTTGGCTGTTTCCAAGCAACGAGTTTTCATAGTTTGCATAAGATCCATAAAGATCCAACATCACATTGACTCATTCTAACCTTCCAAACCACCTACCCAGCTTCCACGGTTTTGGCTTTAGCACCCGATCACGGCATCTCAAAGCGGCCGAGAGGGGGCCTTGGTGCCCACGGTCGCCGAGTCGTTCGAAAGGGAAGGCTGTGGCAAAGATCCCTGAAACATGCGCTCGAGCGCTCTGCTGTTACTGTATCCCTTTGTGACATCGTAAACGCCCAGTAGGGAGCTATGCGGAGAATTCTTTAGACCAACAACCTGCAACCACCCAAAGATACTGGACGTGTCCCTCCCAAGTTCAAAAACCCAAGGTTCACGAAAAGCAGCCCAGCAGGACTCACGCAGGAAAGAGAGCCAAAATGTTCTGCGAAATGCTTCAAAACTTGAGAGGTCTTCTACCCAACCAACATCTGGAGCAACATGCGAAAGGTATCAACACCAGCTCCATTCTCGTTGTGAGTGTGCTCCATTGCCATATTGGTAACAGGGTGAACAAATCCTCTGGTCCATGGCGTTGAGGGTGGTTCCATCCCTCAACCCCAACAAGCTTTGCCGCACAGGCACTGTTTGGACCTCTGCTAGGTCCGTCTGGCTGGCCACAGGCGGAATCAAAGCATCAGCCTGCGCCAACCGTGCAGAGAAAACTGAACGACTGGAAACTCCCAGCTGCAATTTGGTAAACAGGCCACAGCCACAGCTTCGGTGCGTATGAAAATGGGGGGAAGGGCAAACTATTTAGACTAGCTCACCCACTAGGGTCACTCGGTGGGTTTTCTATTCATAACGCGCATTATTTTTTTTGACTTGAAAAGCATCACTTTAGAATCCGACCCTTTCAAGTTGCCAACTATATTCACGGATGGAAGTGCCCGCATGCTGATCTTGGGAACGCTCAAAACATTTATCATTGAACAACATGCTTTAGTTGAGGTTTGCTCCCATAGGAGATCACCGAATGGATTCGCATGGGGAGTGAACAAACCAATACAAACGGAAAAGAACAAAAAATGGCCGACCCAGCCTGCACCTGGTCGCTGCCAACTCCTTCCTGCGCCGACCCGGTTGGTAGCAGGATTCAAAAAGGATGGTCCTCCAGTCTGTGATTGGGTCGCACCCACAAGCTGACAAATCCCAATCTTCTCCAACTCTTGCTAACTCTTGCATGAAGGAAACAGGTCATGTGGACCCTAAAGCACTATGGATGATTCCTCAACTGTGGTTCCTCCAGAGAGGTCCTTATTACCCCAGGCCCATCTAGCCAACCACGTCCATGAGAAGCCACAAAGGCCACAAGTGGCTAAATCAATTCTGCGAGATGGCTCTGTGTCTACCAACGCTACCTACGAAGCATTACGCAGCCAATGCATGCAAGCTGCCACGCAAGCTGCAAAGTGCCCGAAGCGGCACAACTGATTCTTTGTCCTACTCCCCCTCCAACAATCATGGAAGTGGACAATGACCCGTAGGAAAACAGTTTTATTCTACTGAGAGGGGGTTGTCCACTTCCATGTTTGTTGATACATGTTTCTACGCTCCCAGGTCTTCTCCTTTCTTGGAAACCACAGCAGGGCCGGCAGCATGAACACCGTGCAGGCCTTGAGAGTGTCTGAGAGATCGGTTAAGTTTGCAGTACATGGTGCAGGATAGTCCCACTGCTGCATTTAGAAGTTGTGCAAAGTAAACCAAGTGGGCCTGTAGATCAATTCATCATATTCATCGCGCATCTGACATGAACGGACGCAAAGATTGAATGTCGTATGCTTAACAATTCAAGGAGTTGTCTCATTCCATCCGGCCCTAAATGCTACAGCAAACAACACTAGAACTAGCAAAACCTGACAACGCCTCAAGCTGGGTTCGTGACCAGCAATGAGACGATGGTCACGCTGAACGAGAACCTGACGGCAACGATGATGAATGTCTGACGTGGACAGTCCTGGAACCCAAACCTGCGGTGTCCTAGGGCCGGCGGCAGAAAGTGCAGGAATCAAAGTGCAGGCACAAGACCACATCAAATAACCTCCAACTGGTCACCAACAAAGACCTATAGACCACCTCTTAGCAACCCAAGTACCCTCTGGAGGAGACCTGCGTCAAGGCGTGTATAGTATCTTGATGTATCTTATTATCTTGTGTTGTTTCATGTATATTGTTATGACTTATGACATATTCCATCTGAACCTCTGCATTCAAAACTGCATCTCCTCCTTTCACTCTGAAGTCGGCCCGGTATCTGCACCAGCGCCCCTGCTCCACCGACCGTTGGCACCGACCGCTCGAGATCGGAAGTCGTTCACTGAGTCGCCAGCTCATAGCCATGTCGGTCCTTGGAGTCTCATGAGTCCCATGAGTCAATAGTGTTGGCTATCATGCCCTTGTGCCCTTGTCTACCTGGTGCAGGTACAAGTGACCTGGTGTCTACCTTATGTTTTGAGGTCAGGGAGATCTGTGACTCTGTTGGGCCCAATGAAGCCTTGAGTTTGAAGGCGCAGGTACATTGGGCCCTGGGATCACTGCGCCTTTCAAAGAACATCAATTCAAGTTTGATTACAAGGTGCTTTCAGGTTTCAGGGATCAGGATGATCAGTTCTAGGCATTTATATGTGATGGCAATAGAGTGTCAGGAATGGGTAGGGACAACAATAAATTAATAAGGGCCCTCAGATGTTTGAAACACACTCATACCATCGCAGAACATACTGACTCGTGACCACATCCAGAACTGCTGCTGATTTCTTACAGGCTGCCTCCAAAGCATCCAATCCATCTGTCGAGCCCCAACCTCCCAGCAGGTTTACATCACTAAGTTCAACCATGTACAGCAATGATCGCCCTAAACTTCAGCAACAGAACATTCACTCCACAAAATCCCCTCCCCCCCAAACTTCGTTGCTCATTCTTACACTCCTCCACCCGCCCGATTTCTCTCCGTGCGCTTTCTCTCGGACCGTCTCCCAGGTTCCCCGGACGGCCAAAAAGCCGCCCAGCACGGCTGACGCGCTGAACGACAAGGTCCGCAGCCTCGCTTGCGCTCGACCGAGAGCGGCCAGGCGCGGCGAGGCGGAGAGACGTGTTACTTAAATAGCCGGGAGCTGGATGTGGAGCGAGTGATGAAGGGACTGGATCTGTATAGTATTGTGATATCATGATGTATTATTTGCTGGGTGTAGACTAGACATCTTTGAACCTTTTGGAGCAATTATGGTCTTTTTGCTTGAATGAGTCACCACCCAAAAAGCTTCCATGCAGGTGGAGGATTCCAATTGTGAATTCAATCGCTTGCCATTGGCCCCCTGTTGAACCAACCCACTGAACTCTGAACATCTCTGGCAAAGCCTTTCCACCTCAAACCTGCATGAGCCTGCCCTGTTCACACAGTTCAAACCTGCCGCACTCGTCGAGCCCAGGACGAGTTCAAGGCGGCCCATCGGCTGCGCCTGGGCGGCCGGAGCAAAGGCACGTCCCGGCGTTCCGGCGGCGCACGGTGGACTCACAATGGACG